TTTAAAAAGGAATCTTTCAACTTGTGTATCCCCAATAGTGTGATATAATCTTAGCATATTGTGTAATAACCATGAATCCCCCAAAAAGGCCACATCTGTAGGAATTCCTGAGGTTGTTAAAAATATCTGGATGAACATGCATACCTCAACAGTAAAATACACCCAGTGATATCCAGAATAGACCAGACTTTAACTTTCAGCTTATTCTCTGAATTGTTTATATTTGGAACTAACAGGAGGCTTATGTAGACAAAATGGAACAGAGCTGCACCTTGACGCACCCACACACGTGACGGTAATAAAATTTATTTAACATTTAATTTTATTAGCAGTCAGACACAGGGAAATAAATGGTGCAGGTCAACACAAACAAGCAAATGTATGTTTTTGTGGGAAAGGAGCCATGAAAAAAATTTAAACCATGCACAAGGTTCACATGCATATTTCATTATTTCAGTTTCAGGCTGGCCTGGTTGCCTGAACCAACCCCTTGTACCCTTTCCTCTGGAGAAGCCCTTTTTTAGCTAGTGCTGAGTGATATTTGGTCTCTCTGTTTGTTGATGTTGCACTTTTGGACCCCACAGTGCTTTGCTAAAGGCCAGAGGTCTCTCAGGTTGGGCTCCCGAAAGTGACCACTGGCCAGGACCCCAGGCTCCAAAATACAGACGACACAAGGCATGTCTTGTTGATGCAGTGGTATACTGAAAGTGGACCCAGCACATTGCACCATCGCGCCGCAGCACAGCCTGGTAGTCTTCGCCCTCAAACCAGAGTAAATAAACACAACCAGCTACGCAAACACTTCGGCTGGGGCTGGGAAAGCCCACGCACAGGCCGCTACTAAAGAAGGGCTAAGTCTAAGTATAGAGGGCTTGTTGGAGCTGATGTTGCAACATTGTTTTTCGAGGGAGTTGTTTCTGGATCCATTTTGTGAAAAGGGAGAAATAATGTTTGCCAAATAAAACGATATCTAATCTTGTAACCAATTAAAGATTATGTGCACAAGATTTCAAACATCAATACAGCAGCAAGAAACGTAAATCTATTGTGAAGTAATGTTGTCCTTAGCAGAGAATAAAATCACACTATTCTTTGTTTTCGTAACCGGTCTGGCTGCTCACACATGTGAGTGTTTGTGCATATGAGTCCCTCCCAACATTTTCTTCTAAAGCGAGATGACTTCACTTCCAAACGGTTGTTACATAAGCCTGAAACCCAGGTGGAAATGCTCATTTTCACCCCTTTTCTGTGCTGTGACGTCTTTCAAAGAAGACAAGCACTGTCAACACACTCGTGACCCGCTCACGATGGTACAGTCGAACCAGAATGACAGTGGCCACACCATATTTTAATACAGGCTACACAAAACATGGCACAGCTATGCTAAAGATGCTAACAACCTAAGTTTCTCAAAACGACGCTCAGATGCTAATAGGATCGGGCACCAACAGATCCATTTTCCCAGCCTGTACAGCAGCTAGCTAGCTAATTTGATTTTTGTTGTTGTTGCTCTGTCTCAATCCAGGGCCTGCATCCCTTGGAGGACGCATTTGAAGGCCCATCACATCACAGCAGCCTATGTGGCCACAAAGGAGGTGGTCTTCAAGGACTGCTTGGACCACGTCCACCAAAGGATGCAGACCCTGAATTGAGACACATCCACAGAGTAACTTTATCCAGTTGAGCTTCTCAATGTGAGTTTATGAGCTGCTTTCACTGGACTTCGTGACATCCATAGACATTATGGTTGATAAGTTGCTGCGAAAATAAACTACTTTTTGGAGTGTTTCAACCACTCCCTCAATAATCTCTTTTGCAAAATTGTTTTCCACACAACAATGTTACTTAAGCCAACGTTTTTCTAATGTTTGAAAGAAATCCTTTGTTTTAACTTCTGATCTATTGTTACACCCCTTATGGAAAAATTCCATTTTCTATTTGATAATTATGTGTCTACTACTCAATAAACAGTTGGTCTTGTTCCACATCCTGTGTTATCTGAGGACTGCATGAAATTGTTTTTGTCAGACAGACCTTGTGAGTTGGCACCCGGACATTATGTAACCATGTAATTCAATGATTAGTAAGTCGTGTCAGGGTAATAATATGGCAAAGCTATTTTCAATCTCACAGTTCATCCCCCACGTAATAAACTTCAATACCATGGTTCGTTGTATCGCGCGTTCTCACACGCTCACTTTGTTATTTTAAAGAACAATATAACTGTAATAAATAAAAGAGTGACAGAGTGGGAAGGTGATGAGGGAGAGCGGTCACAGATTTGATCCTGTCAAGGTTCTCAACAAAACACCAAACCTAACATTACCGCCTCCTCTTTGGCACAGTCCAGGGCTTCATACTTTTATTGCAATTCACAGTTGTGTTTCCTTACAGATCTAAAAACGGAACATGTTTGTTGCACAAATTATAAACCCTTTGAGGCAAGCATGTGATTTTGGGTTATAAACTAAAATTTGAATTAACTTAACTGACTTAACAACAGAGTCTGTAGTAGTTTTTACAGTGTGGCATTGTTGCTGTTATGCAAAACTCTCTTTTTCCACCAATGATTTTATATTGGATTTTCCTTACTTTGCCTATTTTGATAAAGCCAAACTGCATATTTCTTTCACTGAAAGTCACAACATGTACACATTCCTCTATTCACCGGACATGTATCTGAATATTGACCAGCATAAAATTGTAAAAGAAAAATTATGAATTATTTTTTTTGCAATCTGTATTTTGTTCAACTGAACCAAGGACTTTACAATTACATGGTATTTGATCACAAACCACCAGGATGACCCAAGAGAATGTTTTTAAACCAGATCTTCAGGTACTTGGTTGAATCCAGATTCACATCATTTAGTTTTAAGTCATGGTCTAATTTTGAACTGAATGTCCTTTTTTGAAATAAATTAACAATTTTTGAGACATCTTTGAAGAAGAACCACATCTTTACTATGATCTGAAATGATGTCACTCAAACACAGTACAACATCGTGACATATTCCCTTTGTCATGTGTTGATCTTATGACAGACCGTCCTTTAGACAAGCATGAGCCTACGATGGCTGCAGTCATCACTTTATTACAAAAGAGTCACTGTTAGGGAACAAAGTCATCGATGATGTCAATGAAATAAAGGTATCTTAGTAGCCTGAAGTGACCAAGGTAAAATGACAGTGTAAACTTGAAAATTTAATTGCACAATGGCATTATAACTTTCCACACATGTTAATTATTTGATATTTGACTTTAATTTTAAAATGCAATATCAAATGCCCCAGTCTGATTTATGACATTTATACTCACAATACTCTGTTCACGTCACAATGAAAATGATCAATCTGTCTGTCCTAATCAATGCAAGTCTTCAATTAGGACATCAGTCATTCTCTGCAGGTGGGACACCATGCCACTGCCACAACTTGACTTTATAGGTCACTCCTAAAGACCTTTGAGCAGCCGAACTCACTCCACAATGACATAAGCAATACTGTCATTATAGTAACTGAACAAAACTAGAGCCTAACTATAGTATGTTATATCTGTTGTTGAATATTCTAATGCTGTTTTTGTGTGTGATTTGATTTGGTAATAACTAATATTTTTTACTGATCTATATATAAAACTTGCCCCCCCGGCATGACATAATATGTTGATTTTTGTTGACCATTGACAAATGGCCTTTTCTTTATATGTTACACACATCTTTTTACATTGAATGTCATGTAAGCAGAAACCTCAGAGATAAAGACAGAAGAGCTGTGGGCTCTCATGTAACAGCATGGTTCAAATAGAGTAGCACACTACCTATAGAGTTTTATATACATACTCATTTTCAGTGTCTTGTTGCTGCAGGTGTTGTATTTACTTCACTGCAGTGACAACAGTGATCACAATATATTCATGATGATTGTCATCCTACACGGCAGCATCAGGCTTCACATTTTCTGCACTTTTATGGAAATGAATGTCTTGGACTTTAATCACAGATAGAAACTGAATTTTTTAAGTTAAAAACATACTTTAATAAAAAGAACAGCACTTTGCCAACCAAAGTACAGATAAAACTTGTTTCTGAACATGGTTGTAGCATAATCAACAGTAAATGCAGATATCTATTCACTAAGCTAGAGTTATTATGTATCATAATGTATTCAAACCTGTATGTATCACATAAAACTATCTGTTCAAAGCTGGTGGATTCTGTTCTGTGCTTCACTATAAGACCTGCCACTACCCTGCCTCTGATTGGGTCTATTTAGCATGGAGAATGATGATTGGTTGGAGTCTGGGGAAGAATATTGAAATTAGCCAATCAGAGGAGGGATGGGTATGGGTCTTCTTCCACCTCAGCTGGGAGGAAAAAAAGTATATTTTAAAATTATTTTTAACATTATGACAACTGACAATGCGAGGCAAATTATTTGTTGAATCGGTTCTATGTGTGTAATGTATATACATGCATGTATATGTGTATCCATATTTGTGTGTTTACATGTAGATACATTATATATTCTTACTAAAACTAATGCAGTCTAATACAACAGTCTTGTATTGAACCTCCCTCCTCCCTCACAGATAGAGAGGTGATCATTCAACTCCATGGTGATTGTTGCAGTTTGAGATCAAGCAATTCAATTATGTTGTGTTATACTGGCATTTTTCTTACAATTATTGTGTCCATCCCATTGCAGGGCTGTTGTATTTAACTGCATTAGACACATGTTCCTACTAAAATGCAAACTGACATATTTACATTATGCCATATACGTGTATCAATTTTAATTAATAGTTATAATAAATATTATAATTCCATTATAATAAATAGTACATAGATAATGAAATATCATAAATTAATACTTTTTGTTCATCAAAATTGTTTAGAGCTTTAAGTTTCACAAATACTGTAGAAGCGAAACATTTGTGGTTGATTTTTATCTTTTATTATGATTTTGACCTCCATACCCATGATGCACCTCGCTCTTGCCATCTTGTCGGGTGCTTGTGGTGGAGCAGCAGCCTTTAGCTAACTGTCGCTGTGTAACTCGTTATCTGTCAGCTAGCTGCTAGCCGCAGCTGCCTAAAGTGAGCTGTCCACACGGCCACAGGCGAAACTTTGAGACGTCTTCTCTTCTGCCGCTGGATTACTAGTGAGTTTCGAGCCGCCGATGGATTTATTTACATCATGATGTCGCACATGCTGGCACCGAGGAGGGGAAACTAGCTAACATCAGCTAAGTTAGCTAGTGAGGGAGGCTGACACTCTCAGCAGAGAGGGAAGAGTCGGCGGAGACACCGGGCCCGCCTCAGACTAAAGTACCGGTGGCTGCTGCGGAGCAAGAAGTTTGACGAGGGCCTTTTTGCTACTCTTCTGCCGGGACACGAGAAAGGCCGAGCGGGTGTAAAAGAGAGAGGCCGCGGGAGGAGAGCAGCAGTCGTCCCCTGCGCTGTTACCGGAGACCGTGGGACGCTTCGGGAGTTTCCGAGGAGTCCGGCCTCGGTTGTGACACTTTTTCTCCGACAAGAGAGGGGAAGAGGAACGTTATGGAAATGAACTGTGACGGTACGTGTGTGTGTCATAACCCCGAGCTGTGAATTATTTCGCAAGACATTAGTCCAGGGCTAAGTTTCATCTGGGAGCAGACACACTCGACGCAGATCGTCAACATGTCGAAAATGCCAGCGAAGAAGAAAAGTTGTTTCCAGATCACGAGTGTAACGCAGGCTCAGGTGGCGGCCAGCAGCGTCACCGACGACACCGAGAGCCTGGACGACCCGGACGAGTCCCGGACAGAGGACGTGTCATCGGAAATATTTGACGTTTCTCGGACCGACCTGGGGGTGTGTGACAGGAGCTCGTCCGAGGAAACTTTAAACAATGTCGGGGAGACTCAAGAGGGCCAGCCGCCCCCCACCGGTCCTGTCAACGGGGGACTCTCCTATAAAAGTTTGGCCGCTGGTCGTGTCACCCCACATAATGTACCGAGCTCAGCCACCCATCCTCTGACAGCCATCAACACGGTCCCTGCTGGTACTGTCTCTACCAGTGTGGCTCACACAGCTCCTGTTAGCAGCTGTAGTTCCAGATTCAGGGTCATTAAACTTGACCATGGTACCGGAGAGCCCTTCAGACGGGGCAGGTGGACATGCACTGAGTTCTATGAGAGAGATTCGGATTCAAACATTAATCGGACTGTAACCCTGGATCACAGTATAGACAGGGACAGTGGGCTCGAGACCACCAGTAACTCAGTGGTGACTAGCAGTGCTTTTCCAGCACAGGCTTTGGAGAACTCCGCAGATAGTAGCTACCCCCTTGGGCACCCCACCCATCCTCACCCCTCAGAGCTTCAGCAGCAAGGCTACAGCTTAGCTCCTCAGATAGGGAGTGGAGCAAGTGCCTTCCAGCCCACTGGGTTTACAACTACAGTGTCACAGCAGCCACAACAGGCTCAGGTCAATTTGAAGCCAGTTGCACCCCAAAACGTCCTCTCTAACAGCCTCAATGGCTTGCACCAAGGTGCCATGCAGCAGAAGTCTCCCATCCAGCCTCCTGCCACGCAACCCCAGCATTTTGCTTATTCTACTCATCCCACTGGCCTCTCGGCCGGCCAACCAGACTATCATCAGCAGCACTTTGGCTCAAGCACTCAGAACCTTCCCTTGACGACCCTCCCTCAAAACAGCCAGGTAGCCTTGTCTCTAATCACCCCCGCTGGTCCAGGAATTAAGGGGCTAGGGGGAGAGGCAACCTCAGCTGAAGGACTCCTGCTGCAAGTGAGCAATGCACAAGCCGCCATCCATCCAGGAAGTGGCCAGCAGCAGCCTGTTAGCCAGACTCAGCCTTCCATCGCCACCACCACCACCTTCCACAGCGGTGTTCAGAATGTGCCTGCCACAGTGCCCAGTACCACCAACACCCCTCCAGGTGTGCCCAGTCAGGTGCCTGGCACAGGAGGACTTGCACAGCACTTGGGAGCCCACAGAGGAGCCATAACAGGCCTTCCCTCAGGCTTCAGTAATCAGACAGAAGATAGCAGGCAGAAGTCTGATGCCCCACCTCAGTCAAGTGCCGTCGTGGTGCCAGGAAAAGATGGTGTAAAGCCTTTCATTGGCGAGGGCCTCAACCTGCCCCCTCCTGGTGTCAACAGTTTCTTTGGCATCCATATTACCATGGATGTGGATGATGACAGGTAAGAATTTATAATGCAAAAAGGCTTCAAATGAGTCATCTTCCATAATTTTTTTTACTGTATATATTTTTTGTATATCAATTCACCTGAGTATTTATCTGGAGCAGCACTGATAACTGATTATTGGTTGTTGGAGGTAGTACGTGTATATCTGCATTTTTCCTGCATATCAAACATTCTTGGTGGATTCTACAGCAGTGTGGTCATACTCCACACTGAGGGGAACGCCTCTCCCTCCACCAATGTCAGAATTAGGCACACTATAACTAGAATGGTTTGCTTGTAGTTAAAGAACAATAAAACAGACCACATTTTTCTTAGTTTTGTTTCTAAGTGTAAAGTTGTAGATGGGGAGGAAGGAGTGGTTGGAGAAGTAGTGAGCCAATGAAAACCATCAGAGACTGGTGGGGAATTTTCTGTCTTTGTCATTTCAAGGCAACCCACAAAATGCCGGGTAGTAACTCGCCTTTTTTAGACACCCACAGCTCCCTCCCTTCAAGCCTCCATTCAACCATACAGGTTTGGGTTTAGGAGGCATTAACAAGCACTTGGATAAATTGCAACACGCTCAGTAGCTGTGTTTTGTAGCTGAGAAAGGAATAACTCCCCAGACAAAGGCAGTTGGTTTATATTCTCCCTTCTGTCTAGGAAAGACAGTTAGCATACTTGCCCTGGGCAATGATCCCATCCTCCCATCTTTAAATCTCATAAATACAGACTCCTCATGTGCTTACAGTAACTTCCTATTGTACAAACTGTAGCTATTTTTAGGGACTGTCTGATGGCCCTCGCACAGCTTGAGCTGAAGTGTTGCCACTTTTGCCATTCCAAGCAAGCAGAGGAAAGGTTGAGAGGTGATGTCTGAGCCAAGAATCATCTAGATGGGTCCATTTTCACTCACACACACGGGCACACACGCATAGTGTTTCTTGTGAATGTGTGTGGGCCTCAGTGTTTATCAGTGTCCTCTGCACTGTGGTCTGTTCTTCAGAGCTTATTATGAATGGCACAGTCAGAGGAGGTGTGTGGCCTAATTTTTTATCACACTCAGTCAAGATTCTCCTGAAGCGTATCGTTGTTTACCAAGAATCCCAGCATCATCAGAAGGGTTGATAATGTGCGGAGGGCAGAAACAGTGTGTGTTCTCCCTGATTTCATGAAAGGAACAGCCAGTGCCCTTTTCCCTCTCTCTCTCTCTCTCTCTCTCTCTCTCTCTCTCTCTCTCTCTCTCTCTCTCTCTCTCTCTCGTGAAGTGTGTGACATCAGTCTGAGTAACTATGGTAATGCTGGCAGCAGGACAGGACATGTCTGGGAGGTGGAGAGGACAGACAGACGGCACACAGACGCACACACTCAACACGCACACACACCAGTGGCAATAATAGCAGGTGCGTCAGCCATGTCTGTGGCACCAATGATTTGGTCAGACTGAATCAACAGGTCGACAGTGTTCTGCTCTGGCTCTCGAACTCAAGTCCTTGTCAGGTCTCTCCATGTTCATGTTGACATTTCAGCTTAACTAAGTGTTGACTTGTTGCTGACCAGTTTAAGTTCCTCCTTGTTCTCTGCACACTTCTGTCTGTTTCCTTAAGACTGTAAATTCACTTGACTTGAAACTGCGGCAGTCATAAATTAAAGAAATTTAAATCTCACTTTGTCACATAGGCGTCTAATGATTCTACAAACAATGGTTTAGACCATGATTCCCGAGCCATTGTTGGGTTCATACATTGTTAGTTTTTGTTCTTCGGGGTGGGGGCCCCAAAATATTTCACACCTGCTGACTTGAATGTGCTAGGGGGGGCAAGCCAGTTGAACTAGCCTAACTTAAACTGCAGGCGCTATCACTCGATAGTGGTTGGATCAAAATAGCCATGACACATGCAGTTAGCCTTTCTTCTAAATGTTTTCCCAGTCCAGCATGCACCACACGTTTTATTTTACACCAGAGAGAGAGTAAAAAATCTTTCAACAAACTATTAACATTTTTGCAGTGCAGGTGGACCACATGCGATGGACAATTTTTTTTTGTTTGCAAACATTTTTGAGGTATGCATTTACTGTCTGAATCAATACTACAAATACTGACTGAAATCCCCTTTGTGGCTTCAAGCAGCCGTACGCCTGCCATTTTTACTTTTCACAAATCTCTCTTTATGGATTCTACTTGCTTCATTTATGCACATGCACACACACCCATGTTGAATTTTGGTTAACCTCAAAACTTTTGCAGTTTTGAGTGAGGCCCAAAGGCAAGTTGGCATTCATAGGCATAATTCTAACTATCATCAGTTATAATTAAAATGTCTTGTTAACTCACTTAACTTTCTTGTAAATCTCAGAAAGGAGGGAAAAGCATGTTATGAAGAACACCCCCCCAATATAACGGGACACAAATCAGGACTTTGTTCCCTTGTTAGAGGTGCGTTGTTCTGTGCGTCAGGTCGTTTTTTGCGCTGCAAGTTTCATTGTTTGTTTCTGTTTTGAATTAGAGTGCATCATAAAAAGTGGAACAAAGCACATTGGGGGAGGAGCCGTGAGATGAGAGTGATTTCCCCTCAGCTTGGAATGGTTAGTGTCTCTTCTCAGTAAGCTGCAGCTCTGCCAAATAAAATGATGAAGCTGGCTCTGCCCCTGGGACAAATTGGCTTCCTTCAATAGGAACACTTGGCCTTTAACTCACTTACTCCTCCCAGGAAAGACCGCTGCACTCAATTAGGAATGTTAATTGTTAATCCATAATAGATTCAATTTTATTAAGCAGAACAACTGTGATAGCTTTATTGCATGAAAATAGTCTTAACTAAAACCTGTTCCACAATTTATTATGTAATATTTTATTTTATAAAGAAGGGAGCTCTTTATTGATATGAAATCAAGTGGGCTGTTCTGATTGATAATGATACTAGAGGTTGAGTATCTATGCTGATTCCACATACCTACTCAAAGTTTCCACTTTCTTGTAATAAATGTTTATAATGAGCCATGTGAGAGATATGTTATTTTCCTTCTGCATATATTGACTCATGCTGTTCTTTTGACATCAACACAAATCATACCTAGCACCATCCACAAGCCCAGTCATGAGCTCTGGGCTTATACTTCTGCCCTTCAGAAGTATAAGCCCTGTGTGATAACACCTTCCTCTACTCTTTGCAAAACACTGCCTGAAACTGTTTTGGTGGCCTAGTTGACCCTGCAAAGTTACATGAGTGATTAATTATAGTTTTTGTGAGTTTTGACATTGTGTTTAATGTTGTGGCAAATTAATTTCTTGCATTGGGGATGAGACGTCAGCTCGTATTGCCATAAGTAATAGTTTGCACAAAAAACTCAAGTCAAGACTATTGACCTCTGAATATTATTGCTCCCAGTCAGTGCAGAGATCGAACCTGCAACCACCTTGCAAATATAGATGTTCCAATACCAGCATTTTGTGGAAATGCCTCCTATTCCACGTTTTATAAGTATATTAGTTTATCCTAGATAAAAGTGCAATTTTCTTTTACCAGTACCATTGATTAAAAATAAATAAATGTGTGAAGAGTGTTACAGAGACGAACACACACTTTTCATACATCTTTCATTGCGACCATGGTTTCCTCTATATCGAAATGCTGCTGCTCATATCAGCAAACAAACCGATGAACTTGATGCCCAAACAAAAGGAAAGTAAAGCAGCTGCCAGATTTACAAACCTCCTCGACATGTCTGAGAGCCGACATGATGTCACTCTGCAATTGCGGAAACTTGAACCCGCACAAGATTAATTTCTCCTCACACATACTGAATGTCACATAAAGTTGTAATCTGATTGGAAGCTTCATGAAAGGTCAGCGGCAATGTGTGTACGAGTTCAACTTGTCGGAAATTGTGAGTCCTTCACTGCCACAAGAGGTGAATGCAGCCTCTCTAGCAGCTGGGAAACAATATTATTAATAATTATATAATAATAATTTAATCAGTAAGTCATTTTGCTGGCTTTAATGAAAATTGAAAATCTTTCCTTCTGTTGGTTGTCTTTAAAGCAGCTGTCAGGATTGACTTTAAGCTCAGGACTTTAGCAGCTATCTTAACGGTTAGCTCTAGCTCTTAATGGTTCTGTGCTGACATTGCTGTGACACCACACTATTGTATTTCCCGGTCACTTAGAGGTGAATGGCAAGGTATAAACCTTTTTTTGTGTATTTCCTGTAGGAAAAACTCAGTTTCTGCAACATGTACCTGTCCTCTGAGTAGAGCAGAAAGATGCATTGATATTACATTAACAATGTGATCAAACACTGTATAATTTACTGTTTAGAGTTTTTTGTCGTCATTATTCAGCCTTAAATTTGACGGGAACATAAACACATTATTTAGTCATAATCCTCTAAGGATGAATTGTTCTATGGTGCTTTCTACTCATCTTCTTTATTTAGTTTTTCATATGTAAGCAGAATGCTTTGGTTTCTTTTGGTTTTCAAACATACTTTGTATATTCTACTTACCCTGGAGGAAAGCTTTTCCCTCTTTATTGTTCATGACATCGAAAGACACAGCAACTTGTCACGTCTTTGTTGTGAACCAGTACTTTTCAACAGCTGATAACACGTGGTATTGTTTGGACAGAAATATATCCTCCATGTACCTCAGGAGAAAAGCAATTTATTCCTGATTGTTGCACAGATGCACAAATTACAGCCTGAATGTGAGCGTGTTCAGCACTCGTACATTCGCCCCCCCCCCCCCCCCCCCAATTTTTACCTCTTGGCAATTTGACAGTTTAACAAAAAAGAGGGAATGACGACAGGGTGGGATGGGGAGTCAGGTTTGGGTGTGGCGTGCATGTCTTGTGTGTTGTAGTTTGGTTACCATGGTGAGTGGAAACAAGGCCGCAGCTTTTTTCCACAGATAGATGACCTGCCTGAACTTCCAGGGGATCATTTTCAGGAGCCCTGAGTGGTAGTGATTGTCTGATGCCCAGCGGCTGCAGCCTTGATCTGCACCAGCACTGTCTT